GGTGCCCCCTGCCCCAGCCCTGGCATGTCCCAGCTTCCCACAGCGAGGGGACTTGTTGATGTCACAGCGAAAGGTGCAAATCCCAAGGAGAAGAGGATAGCTTTATTTTTCATCTCTGTCAGCACGTGTGTTGGAGGAGACACAGCTGGGTGGGCTGAGCACTCAGCAGCCACACGTTTGAGATTGTTGGCCCTCCCATTCTCATTCTCATGCATGCTGGGTGGTGTTGTCAGCAGTTGAAAACCCCCTGAGCATCCAGCCCTGGGTCTGCAAGGTTATTGTGTCTCCGTTTCATTTTTGGGTGCGTGCGCCTCCCTCTGATGTGGTAGGACCAACAAGGGCCGCGATATCAAGACCATCAAGTCTCTCCGTGTGCTACGGGTTTTGAGGCCCCTGAAAACCATCAAGCGACTGCCCAAGCTGAAGGTAATGATGCCCATCCCCTGTCTTATGTCTGTCTTCTCCAGGTTGCAAGGGACCATGCGCATCAATTTGCTTGTGAGCCTTGAACAATCAGTTTTCAAAGCGTTTGCTGTGTTTTAAGAGCCCCATTTTCAAACACAACACCCTTCAGGCTGCTTCATATCTGAAGGTGGAATGTGTTATTAAAAGCAAGCCTATGGATCTCTACAAGGTGTCAGAGTTAGTTCCTCTGCCAGGGAAAGTGAGGCGGGAGAGGACACGAGGCAGAAAATCCAGATGCTTTCCTTGTAAAATAGGCTGCCCTGGCTTGGAGAGAGCTCAAATCTCTTTCAAAAGTTCATTATTTTTCCCACCAGTGTAGGCTGCAAACAACTGGTGATTTTGTGTGCTGTGCTGTCATGGGATAAGCACATTCCTCTCTTTCCTAAAGTTCTGTGAGAACTGCTGAGAGCACAGCCTGGGGAGGTGCTGCTATTGCAGACAGAAGTGGAATAGCAAGGTTCTGCCTTCTTATTCAGGGTGATATGAAACCAAAAATTGTTTACTAATTGGTTTTGAGCACTGCTAATTGCATCATCTGGGCCTTGCCCTATTTGCTGCCCTGGTTGCAAGACATTGGGGAATATAAATATCCAGCCCTGCTGCTGCCTCATGTGTCCATGTGTGTGCTGGGGGGTACTCCGGGTGTTAAACTCGCTCAGGAAATGGCCCTTTGCCCAAGAAAAGGCCCAGCTCTTTCCTGCTTCCACCCCAGGAGCAGGAAATGTCTTTCCCCACAGTAGTCTTGAGGAAGGTTTTGGTCCTGCCCTTTTTCAGAGCTGTGGGTTCTGCAAGGTGAGCGATGCCCTCTCTTTCAGGCCGTCTTTGACTGCGTGGTGACTTCCCTCAAGAACGTCTTCAACATCCTCATCGTCTACAAGCTCTTCATGTTCATCTTTGCTGTCATTGCTGTCCAGCTCTTCAAGGGGAAGTTTTTCTACTGCACCGACAGCTCTAAAGACACGGAGAAGGACTGCATGTAGGTACCCTGCTCAGTAGGTCCGATGCTGCTGACACCTCTGGCAAAGGCAGGGTGCTGGGCAATGTCGTCTTTGGGTTCCCAGTTAAGCGCTTGGTCATTACTCGCTCTTGGACGTAGCTTCTTGGGGTGGATGTCATGGGCTGAGCCCACTGCTGTGTCAGCGCTGCGCATCCTTGCGTGGGATGCGGGATGCAGAGCCCTGTATTTTGCTTCTGTTCTCTTTCTTCCTCCTCTTCCCTCTCGTTTTCCTCTACTCTCCTTCCCCCCAGTTGTTTTCCATCTCTCTCCTCCGGCGCTGCAGGAGGGGAGGTCCTGCCCCACCAAGCACGTATGCTGTTCCAGGGTTTAAAGCCACTGTCTCATAGTCTGGCAGCATAAAACCCGAGGTGACTGCTCTCTCCCGACCTTGCAGAGGGAACTACGTGGACCATGAGAAGAACAAAATGGAAGTGAAGTGCCGGGAATGGAAACGCCATGAGTTTCACTACGACAATATCATCTGGGCTTTGCTCACCCTGTTCACAGTCTCCACCGGCGAGGGTTGGCCCCAGTGAGTGTTCTGCTCCATCCATCCCAACTTTAATTAGGGTGGACATGTCCCCATTGTGGTGGTTGGGCTAATAACTGGCTATGGCCAGGTGCGAAGCTGCTGGGCAGCAAGGAGGAGAACAGGGATGAGAAATCATGACAGGACAAAAGAGCTTTAGCCCTCACATGAGGCTGGGACCACGGCTAGGTTTACCTTCTTCCTTAGGTAGCGAATGACAGATAACTCCTTCTCCCGTGTGACCCTGAGGTGTATCCTAACATAAGTTTAGAGGCGGCTGTAGAACTAGATGGTTCTTCATGCTCATGCGATCTTGGGCAACTTTTTTTCATGTGGAGCACTGGAAAATCTATTTTCCATCAATGCCACAGGCCAAACAAGCTGTACGCACTTAGAGAGGGTTGTCCTTGCAAAGAAGATCCAGACAGAGGTTTATCTTATCATTGCTGCAACTGTGGACAGACAGAGCTGGCAGATCCCATGAGAAGTGTCGCTTGGTGGCGGACCCGATGGGCATATCTCTGGGTGCTTTTCTTCTCCTGTCTGCCCACAGGGTGCTGCAGCATTCAGTGGATGTGACAGAGGAGGACCGCGGGCCCAGCCGCAGCAACCGCATGGAGATGTCCATTTTTTACGTCGTCTATTTTGTGGTCTTCCCTTTCTTTTTTGTCAACATTTTCGTGGCTCTCATCATCATTACCTTCCAAGAGCAAGGAGACAAAATGATGGAGGAATGCAGTCTGGAAAAGAATGAGGTACAGTCTGGGAAGGGGGAAAGAGGATATTTCCATGTGTTTTCTGTAGTTTGGGAGCTTGAAGCTCCTTAGATGTTGAGAAGGTGTAAGAAACCACCTGAAAAGAAGTGTGGCAGCCCGCGTCCGTCATGCTGCCACTGGCCAGGGTCTGATGCACGTTGTTCTATTCCAGAGGGCCTGTATTGACTTTGCCATCAGTGCCAAGCCCCTCACGCGGTACATGCCCCAGAACCGGCACACCTTCCAGTACCGGGTCTGGCACTTCGTGGTCTCCCCGTCCTTCGAGTACACCATCATGGCCATGATAGCGTTGAACACTGTGGTGCTGATGATGAAGGTGAGCTGGTCAGAGAGACCCTGTCCTGTTTGGGAAAGTGAGGAGGAAGAGGATGGCTCAGGATGGGACCAGAGGGTATTTTAGTTGTTTCTAGGAGGTGCTTTGAGACAGAGTCTTAGCATGGGCATAGTCACTTGAAACACCACACGCCCTAAACTGGAGGCAAGATCTTCCCTAAATGAGATGACCCAAATGACCTGAATCTCTTAACTACTGCAGAAAGATCTGGGTGTACTCTGTGCCTCCTTAGAAGGAGTGGCAGCTGTTTTCAAGTGGGGTGGAGAAGGGAAGGAGAAGATGTTCTTGAGGCGTCCAGGGCAAGGAACATGGACCACCACAGGTCTTCCCTGGAACAGTCATCAGTCAAGAGGCTGGCAGGTCCTCTCCTAGCTACCAATGTCTCTCTCTCTCCATCAGTACTACTCTGCTCCATACACCTATGAGCTGGCCCTGAAGTACCTGAACATCGCGTTCACCATGGTGTTCTCCTTGGAGTGCGTCCTCAAGATCATTGCTTTCGGCTTCCTGGTGAGTGGCCGCTCCTGTTCTTGATGAGGGTGTTAATTTGGACTTCAGCAGCACTCAGATCACAGAGGGAAGGTGTTAATAATGTGAGGTTGTTGCTATTTATTTTGAGTCCCAGCCCGAGAGCTGCTTTTAGGTTGGAATCACTCCTTTGGTTCTCATTAAAATTCCCACTGCAGGATGCTGGGGGGGTAGCCAAGTTGCTCTACTTTTTGCCTTGTTTCTGTCATACTCTTGTGTCTGGACCATGAATGTGCTGTGCAGCCGTTCTCCTAAAGCCAACTGCTGCTGCAGTCATGCCAGTGGCTGCAGTCACTTGTCCCTGGGAGCCACAGGGAGACTTT